GGAGTCATCGTCTCCATGTAATAACCCTCATTAAAATGAATAAAATTTGCGAATCAAGTTGCTGCAATAACCATTAATCTACTAAACACTTTTCATTAAGTCGTATCGTAGAGTACTAGTGCTTCTTCCGATGAATAAACTCCAAAATTTTCGTCTACTACATCCATTACCGAGAACTTTAAATGGCATTTTCTCTCTACATGTACTTTAATGTTATTTTTAGCAGAAGAATTGTTCGACGTCATGTGAACGTTTTCAAAGCCTCAAGTTATCAACAGCACCACCGAGTCTCGGCGTTCTGAAATGGTTCACTAAAATATGCAAATTAAAGCAGATATTATTCTGCTACGTACCCTATTTTGTCCTTTCAGTATCGGCCTCAACTGCCTGCGAAGTCTATCCTCCACTTCGGACATCACAAGCTAGGCACGTATAGTCTATCCTGCTGTAGGACTATTGCAAAGATCACATGCATCTTTGCATCAAGTTTGCGGTATATTTAGGTTCAGATGCATTTAGGACTGGTGGCATAGTTGGTCTGTCAAGTTAGCAGCAAAACCTCTTAATCAGATAAGCAGCACTGTGTCGTGCTACGAAGCTGTGCTGTTCTTTCATTGCCAGTTTACTTACTATCCTTAGTTTCCTGAAGAGTAAAATGGCACCTGGTAACTAGGTGAAGCTCATGACACCGCACATTTATTTAAGCATTACATGAGAATCTCGCATGGTTATGCTCCATTTGTTCAAACCTAGGCCATTTTCCATATCACCCAATCTACAGAGCTCCTGATTGAGTGAGTTTTCAGAAACCTGCAAGAATCCCATTAGTAACCTTGCTTATTTGACGGCCTTCGTAGTTTCAACCATTCACAGCAGACGTCTTTCTCAGTGAGTGCAAAGCATTCCCGTAAACACCAAAATGGTTACAAATGTTGCAAAGGCTATATTATGAAGGCATAAAATACTTTGGAGACTATATGTGTAGGTGGGGTAGGCATTGGCTTTACCGGGGCTTACAAATCCACATTCTAGTGAGTAAGTTGTCGTTTGTTTAACATGCATAAACACCAGGTACAAATTATTGCACTCACACGTCTGAATCTGACCAAAAACATGCCTGACACTGCTCTACCTTCAGGGACCAGAAAGGACTTGTAGCTGAAGGTAAACAACTTCCATCAGAGCTATTATCACGGTGTCCTGGCATCCAGATTACAGGTATAGCAAATCAATCCTTCTAAACACTAACAGAAAACCATCGTTTATAATAGCCTAAATAGGCAAGTCTTCAGGGATACCTTCCAACGCTAAAATGCTTCATGCCAATTGCTGAGTATTGCACCTAATCGTCAAAGAAGGGAGATGTCTGTTGTGGATGGCAGAATTTTGGGTGACTTGCAATAGGAAATGTCGAATCGGGATCACTTTCCACAAAACGCCTAGTCTTGATTATCGTCCAGTGTCCGCTAACGGAACGGTCTCACCTATTCATGGCCTAACCTGACAGCGTGAAGTCTCAATCTGCTTTTGGGCAATGGACAACTGGCATATTGGGTATGAGTTTATGAAATAGAGTTAATCATTTGGCACCACTTCCTCAATTAAACGCACTTTGGTCAGTTAATAAATGAACCTTCACATGAAATCGGTCAGAAACAAAGAGCTGTAGGCAACGTAGGGTAAATTCCCACTATTTCATATGTAATATTGCATACGATGGAGGCAATTCGTACATTTGAACGCTGCATCAGACAGGCAATCGTGGGAGAGACTGTTCTACAGTCTGAGCAATGCCCAATTGCGGGAATCATAGGAAAGACGAGTATCATCCCCTCAAACTGTGGTATACATCTTCATGTTTTTAATAAAAGTGCAAGCAATTCTTCAAGGAATGCTGTCAATTCAATCTCGTCTGGCCTTGCTTTGTTACTGATCTTCATGTCAAACACAAGACTAAGAAAGTAGCAGAAGTCAATGAGGTTTTGGAATGCACCCACTGCCAACTAGTGTTGATGTCGTGGCGAAGTCTAACAAAAGGCTCCCTGCTATAATATTTACTGTGAGGAGTGCTAGTGGCGTTGAAAGTCATCTCGTGGTGATGGAGAATAGTTGTTTCGCCCTCACAGGTAGTGCCAGCAAGGATGATCAAAAAATTGTTGAATTCGGTGGGTGTTTTTTGTATCCTCTGCCCCGGTCACCATGCTGATGATATGAAGGTATGCAAGTAAGACTGACTCAATTTTATATAATTTCAATACAGACCATTCCAGATTCACACGTCTTTCAGATGTCTTTAGCAGTAAATATACCCCACAATACATTCCAAATTTACATATGAATATTTTCAGTCGTTAGATACTTAATATCTGTATCTTTTCAAGTACAACGTGTATATTTATTTCAAATTCGTAGCCATGATTTTAAGTTAACCTGCCTTTTGACACCTTAAGTAAAGTGAGAGCTTAAATATTCCTACCTTGAAGTAGCTATTACGAAAATACACAATACCTGCTTACATGAGCGTCTCGTGTTACAAATGTTTTCTTCGCCAGGAGGATGTCGACCTTCCACATTCGTAAGTCTCACCACATACCACCAACGTTTTG